GGTTTCCAGTTGTGAGCTCCTTAGGGTGGTGAAGGGATCAGCCTACTCCCTTCAGCATTCCCTTATTCAGGCACTTGCGGTTGTAACTCCTGTCCCTTGCTAAGGCACTTTCTGTCTCTTTTCAATCTTCTAAAACTTCATTGGAATCTCTCACTGTTAACTGTCACCTCTTCTGTTTTCTCTTTGATTTCTTCATTGTTAATTTAAGAGGATCTCAGATGAAGAGGAGAAAATTCAGTGATGAATCTGTTGTCTTTAACATAGAAGTCTCACATATGTATTTTAAAATAAATCACCTAATTATGTTACTTTTAGCACTGTACCTTTACTCTGTAGAACTAACTTAGCAAAAAGTAATATGCAGTAATTCATAAAAGATCAATGTAAATAAATTTAGTCTTAAAATACTTAAAGGACATTGATAGTAAATTATTTTGTTTTACTTTTCATTTTGATATAATTTTAAACTTACAGAAAACTTTCAATAACAGTATCGGGAATTGTCCTATTCCCTTTATACAGACTCACCAATTCTGTGTTAACCTTTCTCTTTTATGACATTGGCACATGTGATGGGTATGGACAGTTATTTTGTGGACTATCCCTCAGTTGATATAATACTGTTTAATTTTGTGGTGCAATTCTTTGTTTTTCCTTGTAGCTTTTAGGAGAGTATGAGTCCCTTGGAAAAGAACATGGAAGAGTAAAGGTAAAGAGTGATTGTTCATGTTCTAGATTTCACGTAGGGGCAAAGACATTGGGGGTGGGAATTGAGATCTCACCCTTCCTCTTCTTCCTCCTCCTCCTTTCTCCACCCTCTGTGGCCATTCGAACTAGACTACTTGTCCTTTCTGTTTCAGTGTGCTTATTTTCAAATATCTGCCTTCTTTAATGCATGTGTATGTTAGATTTGTTAATCTAACAAATATTTATTGAAGGGCTATTGCATTTGAGATGAAATTGTTTAGGAGAGTGTAAGGTACCGTATAGATGCAAATAATTAATACTATTTAAATATAAAGTTTTTATTTTCAAAGCATTAGCTTTTTGTGGGATTGTTTAAGTTTATTGATTATGTTCGAATTCTTGAAGCTTTCTTTGGGGACCACATATTTGAGTTTAGTGAAACACCACAATAATGCTATAAGTGGGGTCCAATTATTTATGTTGCATAAAATGCAGGATTGTGGTTATTTAAGGCTGATGAGAAGGCCTGCATAGCCAGACAGCCGAAAGTTCTGAGAGTTTAAGAACACATCGCATCATTGAAAGTATTTGTTTTACCATTCTACCAAGCATTTAGTCAAGTTTGTGATTAAAATGTGTTCGTTTTAACACTGGATTATTTCTAAGTAAGCAAGCTACTTGTATAGTCCAGGGTTTTGCTCATTTTTTTTTTTTCCTTGAATTATCTGTACTGGCTCTACAGTTGATGCCATACTTGCTGAATATAATTTGTAGCTAGCTGGTTTAGCCATAGATTTGTTTTATGTATTTTAAAATAAAAGTATTCATCTGAATATTTATCTTCCGTTATCTGAATTTTTCCTTTATTTCTATAGGATACATTAAATACAACTGAGAACAAATTGCTTGATGCGCATACTCAGATTTCTGATCTGAAAAGGTAAAATGTATTGTCTAATGAACAAATACCTCTAACTGTTCTTTTATGTGTATTGAAAGTGATGAAAAAAAGGACATTTTTCTCGAGAATTTTTAAACAGTTTGAGAACTAGTTTTATCCTAATCTTCTCCCGACATGGAAGTACATTTGATTTTAGCCAAATAAGATTCCTTTTTTTTTTTTTTGATAAAAAGAGGTAGGGTCTCACTATGTTGCCCAGGCTGGCCATGAACTCCTGGCCTCAAGTGACCCTCCAGTCTCAGCCTCCCGAGTAGCTGGGACTACCAGTGGACACCACCGCACCTGGCTTCTAACAAGATTTTTAAGTGATTAAAATATCTTGCTGATTGTACATTAGAGGTGTGCATTTCCCCAGACATTATGTATTTTATCAGCATATGTAAAAATCTAAATGGTACTTAACCATTGGAAAGAACCTTAAGAAGTAGTCCAGTTCGTTGAAGTACTTTTGTGCTCCAAAAAGAAAGCATCATTCACACCAATACTGTGGTCATCCACTTTCATAAAGACCTGGTTTGGAGACTATATTAATGATCTGACTTGCTTAATTTGACTCATAAATGGTCCCTATTGCAAATGATTAGAAAAATCTAAATTGGCTTTAAACATATTTTATATTCATGTTTGAATATAATACCCCTTATTTAGAAATTTTACTGCAGTCTTAAGGACATCCCATAGAAAGGAAGAGAAAAGCTGTCTAGATTTCTTATCTGCCTGACTCTTTTCTATGATTCATTCAAGTCTAGTGATAGCTTCCTTATCACATTGGAATAAAACATCAGCCTTATTAGAACTGTTTTTCTTTCCTCAAATCTTCCTTACATCAGGTTAGGTAAGAATTTGAGTTTAAAAGATGAGATGAAGACATACACAAAGTATAAAAGAATAGAAAGAATGCCATGATATCTGCAAAACAGTTACTTGACCAGAGTAGTTATTATCTGTTGGTAAACTTGAAAATGGGCTTTTATTCTGAACATGGTGCAAATTAGATGAACTACCTTTAGGTTGAGAGTTGTTGGAGATATTTTAGCCTCTGCCCCTTCTAAAAATTAGGAAGTTTCTTTATTAATATCTGCTTTTTGGAAGTTAAGCCTGCTTTCTCTTTTGTGAAGGTGTATGTGTGAATACATATATATTAGAATTAAACATGATAGAATGTGATTTGATACTTGAATTTTATTTTAACTTATGTATGTTTTCATTTGTAGTCAAATTTATATAACTTATTTTTACATAAGTCCATTTGTTCCCTTTTCTTTCAGTTTCAGTGTATGAAATGCTCCTTTGTAGAGTTTAATGTAGTTGCTTTTCTATTTTCCCTAATTTTGTTCAGCTTTTTAAAGTGTAATGGTTGTGTTTTATTATGGAAAAGCTTTATGAACTGGCAACACTTTGTGACCCCTTTTCTAGGAGGGTCTGTTAAATAATTTGTAATTGAGCTATATTTTAAATTTGTTGAAATGTACTTAATTTATCATATTGCTTTGAATTAGAATGATTTCAAAACTTGAAGCTCAGGTCAAGCAAGTGGAGCATGAAAATATGTTAAGCCTTCGTCATAATTCTAAAACTCACGTGAGACCCTCTCGTGCCAAGTAAGTTATTTCATTTAATCTCTGAAAAGCTAGAAGTAGGTGCACACTTCTATTAAAAGGAGAAGCTCATCTGTCTAAATCATAAGAAAGGGTTAAATGTCATTACAGAACTTAGAT